ACCGTTCTTGTTTAATATATATATCAATGATTTAGTCAATATAAACAAACAGGCAAAATTTTGTATCTATGCTGACGACACCAGTGTCTTTGTATCTGCTCGGACTGGGGATGAAATAGCTTATATTGCGAATAACGTACTAGCAGAGCTAGAATCATGGGCAAACGCAAACTTGCTAAAAATCAACACAGCTAAGACAAAGGCTATTTGCTTTAAACCTAAAAACAAATTTCTTGGAATTCCGACCAATATCATAATGTACTCTTTACCAATTGAGGTTGTTAGATCATTTAAAACACTAGGGGTGTATTTTTCCGAACATATGTCTTGGGACGCTCACGTTGACCACATCACATCAAAACTAAGTCACGTGTTAGGTTTAATGTATCGGCATTCTTGTATTCTTCCATTCAGTGTTAAACTACTTCAGTACCAGTCATTATTTTGTTCCCGTTTAAACTATTGTCATTTGATTTGGGGGACGACCACAGGACTAAACCTTCAAAAAATACATCTCTTCCAAAAAAAACTCTAAAAATAATTTGCAATGTCGGCTATGACTTTCACACAGAACCCCTTTTTCGCAATCTGAATGTCATGAAAATCTTCACACTCTGCAACTTTAAGGTATGCATGAAATATAAAATAGAATGCAGTAAAAAAAGAGACCGTTTCATTTCTCTAGCGTCACTGAAGGAAAAAAGCTCAAATTATCCAACTCGTAGTTCTGAACCGTGGTTCATTGAAAACTCCCGCTCTAACTATGGCCTTCAGAGAATCAAAACAACTCTCCCGAAGTTGCTAAATATGCTAACCCTAAAGCACATAGACATAACTACTCTTTCACCCAAAGAATTGCGGTCTTATTTTTTGTGTTGCGAGTGATATGGTTACACTTGAGTTGCATTTGTATTGTACTTGCTTTGTTGCTTGTTTTTTGGTTTTTAAATCCACTGTTCTCTGCATTAGCTAATATTGTATAACTTTTTTATATTTTTTTTTTCTTCCTTTTAAATGTATACCCTGTGTGTTAACTCGCATTGCCGCTGCTGCTGAAACTTTTGTGGTGCTGGGAACTCGTCAAGCTGTCCATGCAGCTTTTTTTCCCAGCCCCCGACATTGTAAAAAATGGTAAATAAACATTGAATTGAATTGAATTGAATTTCGTAGAGAAGTTGTAAAAAAAGAGGAAATAAAAAACGAAGGGAATTCAATATTGTCACGGGTGGTGACCAATAAACAAGAAATAAACAGAAATAAATGAACGTTTAATGTGGCGAACTTGTGCCAAAAATAAAGAAGGAAACAGAAGAAAGCAGAGCGTCGCGGGCGTCGAAGTCGGCGTGTCAGCAGAGTCGAACGCTGGGGCGAAAACTGACTCGACAAGGTCGCGAGCGGCGTCTTATCTAGAGTAAGTCACTATCTCGAAGATTCGGCGGAGAAGGTTCGAGCGTAGCGCGCTCGGGGCGAGAATGAACACGCACTTTCTAGAACAACATAAGCGGGGATAAACGATAGAAGTTATGTCCGGAGCAAGAATAAACGAGAAAGTTCTAGAAGTCCGTGACCCCTGCGCGCGGCAATATGCCACATGTATGACATAAAAAATAACAAATGTGTAGTTTTAACGACTTTTATGTAAAATGACTGGGGAATAATCAATTAACGAATTTAATGATTGATGAGTCTATTAAGGGGTGGCTATCAGGCGGACTGATCTGCTAATGAACCTCCATCTCCAACCAAGATTTAACGTTTTATGAAAGCCATGGATTGTGCGACATAACAAGAATATGTAGGACCAAAGGTTCTACAAACCACAGCACTAAGCTTATGGAAGCATCCAACTTAATATTTAACGCTTTGCTGAATTTCCACGCGTGTGAAAACATACAACACAACCTTTAGTAAGAAGAAACAACAAAAACATCAAACATTTAATAAGAAGGATCCTACTCGTGGGGACCCCACAGACCGCAATAAGCGTAACGAAGGATTGCGGGTTGCGCGATTGGGCGTGTAAGCCGCGGCCTCCACAATTTCCTTTTTGTGTACGTGCGGGTTGTTGGTTTTGCGTTTTCTTCAGTTCCAATATAGTTTTATATAACTGTCGCCGCGGAGTAGCCGGCCAGTGCGGGATTCCCCCCCCCCCCCCCCCCCCACACACACACACATATTATATATATATATATATATATATAAACGAACATATGCAGATGAATGAACCGTGCTTAGTCCCAATGAATCAAGGAAACAGTTTTCCGGAACCCGCCGAAAGCAAAAAAACGGCGGAGCCAGGATTTGAACTCTGGGCCTCCCAATGTCCGGTCGGGTGTGCTAACCTCCACACCACCCCACTTTTTTTCTTCTTTTTTTTTTAACTTGGTGTCACGTGGTACGTGCTCGTTTGTGCTCCAGGAATCCTCCCACTGTTTGTCTCGTCCCGTGTACGTGTAGTATTCTTTTTTATGAGCTTTAAAGACACGGTATCATGATCATCTGCGAGAATCAAGAGCCGCGTTATTGAATATACAACACGGGCACTTAACATCATCGTACGTGGTCTCCGAGGAGGATATAAACTAACATACGCAGATGAATGAACCGTTCTTATTCCAATGAATCAAAGAATCAAAGTTTTCCAGGACCCGCCGAAAGCCAAAAAAACGGCGGAGCCAGGATTTGAACTCTGGGCCTTCCAATGTCCGACCGGGTGTGCTTGTTTTTTGTTTGTTTGTTTGTTTGGCCCTTAAAAGGGCCTTAAAAGGGGAGGCCAAGAGTTCAAATCTTGGCTCCACCGTTTTTTGGCTTTCGGCGGGTTCCGGAATATATATATATGTGTATATATATATATATATATATATATATATATATATATATATATATATATATATATATATATATATATATAGGTGAGGCAGAGTAGCTTGAGAACAATGGACCGGGAAAATGTAATAAGTCAGAGATCCGTACTTGCGGAGTTGCTATGCTAGGAGTTTATTGCATGTATTTCGACAGTTTCGCCGAGAGGCTCGGCTTCGTCAGGAGATGGCATACATCATCTCCTGACGAAGCCGAGCCTCTCGGCGAAACTGTCGAAATACATGCAATAAACTCCTAGCATAGCAACTCCGCAAGTACGGATCTCTGACTTATATATATATATACAGGGTGTTTTTTTTTTAAGCTTAACAGATTTGTTTAAAAAAAGCCGTGAAAGCTACGCTTATGCCGCTTGTGGATGTGAGTTATACGGCCAGGGGGACATATTATAGGGGGCTAATTGTAACGCTCAGTCGGCTAATTAACTAAAATTCGTCAATTAACTTTTTAATTAATGAGAATAGACATATAGTTCCAATTATAAACTTGCTCAACGTCATCGAAAACCACTAAATCAGTCATTTTCAGAAAGACATTGAGCGCGTGAGAAGCGTAGTAGTTCACTAAAGTTACCACTCGTGGAGCAGGAACAAAGCTAGCGGTTGCGGTAAGGCGCCCGCGCGATTTTTCCGTCTCTTATCTAGCCCCGGCCTTGTACCTGCTGCACGAGTGGTAGCTTTAGTACAATACTACGCTTCTCACGCGCCGGAAGTCTTTCTAAAATTGACTGATTTAGTGGTTTTCGATGACGCAGAGCAAGTTTCTAATTGGAACCACATGTCTATTTTCAATAATTCAAAAGTTAATTCACGAATTTTAATTAAGTAGACCACTGATCGTTACGATTAGCCCACTATAATATGTCCCCCTGGCCGTATAACTCACCTATACAAGCGGCATAAGTGTAGCTTTCACGGCTTTTTTTAAACAAATCTGTTAAGCTTAAAAAAAAAAAAAAAACCTGTGTATATATACTATAATCGGCCGCATATCTCATTTGTTAAATAAATTGTGATGTAGGCTGCGCTGCGAAGCGTTACTCAGGAAAGAAAATATATTTCTTTATTTCTACTCTTTCATCGCTTCGCGAGTGCCCTATGCGCGGAGTCACCAGGGCGGGGTGGTCGTCGCCACGGAGCGGCCCCCGTGTCCCCCGTCTTAATTGTTTCTCGACGACCCCCGCTCTGGGTGCGTACCATGCGCTGTGCCTCGCTCGAGCACAGCGGGGCCCCTCAATGTTTTGTAGCATTTTTTTTTTTTATTTCGAGAAGAAGCGTCGGTACTGTTCTTGCACCCCGACGAGGGGTTTTCCTGGACGCGGTGTCCGGCTGACGGTCGACAGTTAGGGCGAAGGTTTTTGGGAGTTAACGGGGGGCCGTGCACGTGTCCTTTCTTAATTGGATTTCGTACCGTATATGTTTGTTTTGTACCGCGTGGCTCCCATTGGTCTAAAAAGAGCGATATCTGATTGGCTCCTCGGATGGTTGGAAAGGTCTTAGCAAAGTGGATATTGGCGCCTAAAGGCGCGGGATTTGCGGTTCAAGGTTCGAGTACTGAAGTTGTCATCGGCAGTTTGAGAACCGCGCGAGATAGGGGCGCGAGTGTGCGACCTGCTGCGCCAGGACGAGAGCCAAGTGCAATATGCGAGTGTATCAACCATTTTTCATCGTTCCCTTCCTTGACTTTCTTTTATGACCGAACTTCGGAAACCTTAGAATTCGACACCAGCGAACGAATCACGTGAGATTTTTTTTGGTTAGATAAGGTTAAGATGGGGAGTAATTTATGGTTTAGCAGCTTTCCAGTGTTTATCCTCTATCCATCAAGGTGTTCCGCGTTTCTACTTATGCATCATTGTTTTATCAGCCCGAATGTCTTGAGGCTTCGTGCATTGAAGTCGTGCTTTATAAAATATTTAGTTTTATGGTTCTTGGTTTCTGCTAACTCTGGTACCTTCTGTTCACGTGACTTGTAAACAAAAAAAAAGTAAAATGCAGATTGCAGGCACCACGGAAAGGATTGGATCCCGCCAACTGGGGATCCGTAGGCAAACGTTCTGTTCTGGAGCCACCGAGGCAGCTACTCTTCAATGTAACATAAATGCACACCGGGACAGCTTACATGGCAGTTCCTGTGTCATTTTGATTCATGAAGGCCATCAACGCAGTCGCAAGCTCCTGCTGCACCTTGATGGCGGTTTCCTGCAGGACGATTACCCGCTCGCGTAGGGCGAACTCTCTCCCTCTCGAAGCCTCAAAACTCTGCCTGAGCAGCCTCTGTTCATCGATCACCGTTTTGATGTATGCGGTGCTCGGAGCTTGCGGCTTCTTCCTTTTTTGTGGCCTCGGCGGCACGTTCCTTGTGCCATTGACACTGCTGGGCCCCGGCCTGCTGACACTTGTAGTGGCGGGGGTGCTGGTGACTTGGCTTTCCTCGCCGCGCAGCTCCTCTCTTGGTTCCTCGACGGGCTCCTCGAAGCAGTCCGTGTCAACCATGCTTCTCTCCTGCATGTCTGAGAGCAACTGAGAGGAGTACCACGCAAGTGGTTTTTCCTGTCAAGCTACAAGAGACTGCACCAAGCTGTTAGGTGCCACCCAAAGCCATTATTCAAGGGGTACTCAAGAGTAACGGAACTCCAACCCTGTGTATGAATGCTTTGTAGTTGAGAATCACGATGCTAGGTATTGCTACCATAGTTTTATACATTAGTGTGCAAAAGTGCTATAGCTCCATACTCCGTTTAAGAGACAGCATTCAACGCTCTCAAAGATACTGGCACAAGCACGGGACTTCTATTAGCGATTCATTTGGACATGCTTTCGTGCAAATTAAATATTCGATATAGCCAAGGTTTCGTGCCAGTACCTTTGACAGCATTGTACACTGTGCATGAAAAGGAGTGTAGAGTAAAATATTGAGCAGGCGCCCACAAAACAGTTGAAGATATTCGCAAAAACATCAGGAAGGACAGTTGTTACGTTCGAGAGCAGAAGGACAGGAAGGGCGCAAGGTAGGGTAGGCGCTTTATCTATAGTACGCACCTTTTCTACAGTATAGCCATAGTTTGGCAGAACCCTGAATTTTTAAAGCAGCCACATTGCTCCACTTGAGCTGATGCTCTCGTATCAAGCTTTACCGCATTGCACTGTCACACGCGTGCAAAGTTTTGTCGCTTTGCAACGGCTTGTCGAAAAAACAGCCAAAGCAGAGGAGCACTGCGATTAGCTCGGTGGACTCTGCTCGTTGGGCAATTTTCAAAAACAATTTCATGCATTTGACACTGGCTGCCACTTTTACATTGAAATGATTTGTTATTCAAAAATGCAGAAACTTTTCTGAGAGAAACCACCCAACCTACCTCCACTACTGCCGGTGTGGCATGGTTGGAAGCCAAGCTCTCATCTACGAGGGCCGTGTCATTCAGGGGGAGGGACCCCAATAGTCGGTTCAGGTCCCAGAAGAAGGGCCACTTTAAATACTGCGCCGGGCCCCGTGGTGGTCCCCTCCCTCAGATGTTTTCTGAAAAATGAAATTGCAGTGAGTGGCAACTTTATGGCAAAGCTATTGATGTATGTGCAAAAACGCCCTGTATAACAAACAATTGTCCGGAGCATTCTCAAAATAAAGGGGTAAACACATTATGCTGTTGGCTATATTGTGCTTACATACATAACCAGAAGCAGTGGCAATTTAGCATTTGAATGATATGAGATAGTCCCACATCAGATTAAGGGACCTATAAACTGACATTTAATCAGATATAGTAGTCCTCCATCCTGCCACTTGCTTTAAGTATGTTAATTCGTGCCAAGGTGAAAAAAAAAGATTTCTTGGATTGGAATTAAATTAATTTTATTTAAGTGACTGAAGCTCGCAAATAGTTATTCTGTATCACTAGATATATATTTTAAACATGGTAGATTCATTGGTCACTCTGTCCGATCACTCAAAACAGTACAGAAAATTACCCTAACCTTCAATTACTCATGGATTAACAACTTTTAATTTATGTAAACTGCACCGTAGAAGAAACAAAAGTTGATCTTTGTCTAGCTAGTGAAAAAGCCTTCTTATTTTTCTTTCGCGTTGTCATGCTTGCAATAAGACATTACTATTTTAGTTTTAGTTTCCTTTCTTCCGCATTCTGAAATTTTCTTGCCATAGGTCGTTCGTTCCGTAACTGACTAACGAAGTGGAAAGTAGAACTCAAGCCCAGCGCTCCGATTTTTTCACAAGAGCACCGTGGTCATGTTCAGCCTGCTCTAAGTCGTTCTTGCTTCATGTTTTGATTTAAATACAATTGCATATAAACAGTAGAGAGTAAATAAAAGAATTTTTGGGAGATATTTCTTCGCGGAAAAGGGTTGGTTTAAATCATCAGAGTAAGATCGGTCTAATCCCGGTTGAAAATTTCGGAAGTCGGAATTTTCTTATTGGTACCAATTGGGTTTTTGGACAACCAATTGGTCACTGCCTATGGGAACCATTTGCAACAGATTCAACTTCCAACTGGAAAAATAATTCCAATTTGTGAGGCCCATTGGCCAGTGTGCTTCCAGTTAAAATCAATTGGAATTCCGATTAGATTTAATGGGAATTTTCAACTGGCATATTTACATCACGATTGAAATCATGATTTAACCCGCGGTTTAAGTCATCTGAGTTTTTATTTTCCGCCCTGACTCATACTACTCTCAGGGTGCATGCAACTTTACAATAATCTTAGCGGTAGGTGTTGGTCAGATTTTCTATCTTGTGGTGGACCTGGTCCTTGGTCCTGACGATACCGTAAGGGAGCAGCTCCTCGGCAATCTTCCCGTAAACGCCTCCGTTACGCTTGGCGCGTCCGAGGTCTTCCATCCTGCCCTCCCAGAGCCGGATCAACGTCCAGGTCTCCTGGGAAGTCCACACGAAGCGCGGTTCCCTCTTCTTTGCGGCCGAAGGTCCCGCTCCGTTCGTCATGGTGTACACTTCGCGCGCGTTCTTAAAACGACTTAAAACACAATAAAATATATACGTACAACAAAAAGATTATATATATATACAACGGAAGAATAAAAGACTATGAAACGATGATAAAATATTTATAAAAGAAATAGAAGATGAGAAGGATAAATGGCAAAATGGATGGGAATGCTAAACAACCTAGGTAAACGAGCGAGCAGACAACGGATAGTTTAGGCTCATAGTGGGCAACTGAGACCGCGAATATATTAAACAAATATATCGGAAAAGGTGTGCCAGATATACACGTTATAAGCTTTTTTTTTCTAAAAATAATTGCTACAAGCATTGTTTTCAATTGTATTTATATTATTTATCATGTTTTATTTCAATTCGCGGAACTTGTGCTGACCGCTGTTGACCAGACTACACATTTACAAGCCGTAAATGAGTTTGGGAGAATTCAGTTGAGCTCGAATGTCATTTAATATGGGCAGGGGGGGGGGGGGTGAGAAAAAAAAAAAGAAAAGGTGGCTTTGGTGAGACTGCCGAACCGCTTTTCCTTCATCCTCCTAAGCAGCTTTCTACAAAGCAAATCTGACGTGTGCGTTTTTACAGGGGTAGCTGCTATGGACTCTCCGTGTTGTCACTTGACATTGTGACGTCAGAGTCACGTGACTTCCTAATGTCTTGTGACGTCGCAATTTCACTTGACCTCATGGTGTCACATGATGTTTCCAAGATAACGCCCAACCTTAGTGCCTACAATTATCACGAAGTTTATAAAAACAAAAATGTCAAAATCATTGCGAGCTGGTTCTACCTGATCGCCATAAGTTTTCCCCCAAAGCCAAGGTCACACTGCTTGTACATCATACAGAAGACAGTCCGCAAACAGATTCAAACTCGAGTCACCACGAGATTTGAGCTTTAAATGCCGCAAGGCAACGAGTTCAAGGAGACACTCGGCACGCGGCATTTGAACCATGGATATCGTGGTGACTGATATCTGCAGACTGCCTTGTGTATAATGTATAAGCAGTGTGACCCCGGCTTAAAGGTACTTCTAGTAGAAGCAAACACCGCAATACGACCCGCAAAAATGGCGTAATGAATATTAAAACTATTAAAAGGACAACACAGACTTCGCTATATAGTATCAAACCTCGTGCTCAGGCTCTAGAGGCTGCGCCAAACAACGTGCGAAGATTTTAAAAAAAATTCAGCATGATTATTTTTATTTAGGGAAATCCGAACTCTTTATGTACGGAGCTAATTTTTTTCTGAAATTTTATACGTGCTAAGACTGCAATGAAATACATCAAAAGGCGCGCTTGTGGCGCTAGCCGCAACATGTCCGATGAATATCTCAAATTAAATAATTAAATTAGCATCAAAAATTGTCTATCTACGTCCTCAGAGCAGCTGTTCACCGTTCAACCACAATGCACAAAAATATGTAAGTATAAGTTGCAGTAACTCGACGTAACAAGACTTGTTCTTGAACTCTTCTGCCTCGCGCCATGCTGTCGATGACTGGGTTGGGAGCCCCTCCCCGCGGATAGACACCGCCTCCTTCTCTTTTTCCGATTACGCCCTCTCCGCACAATGGGACGGCCGGAGAAGCGTTCGCGCCGTTCGCTCGGTTCGCGCGCTTTAGGATCTCACAGGCCAAGCCAAGAGAGACTAACTTCAAATGTACCCACTAGATGGCAGCACCTCCCGGTACTTGTATTTTCTTTATGGCGCGAATTTTCAAACAAAGGTTCCGCTTTCATCGGGCCCCGGGGTCTGATGTTGCCAAAAGGGGACCCTTGTTTGAGCGGGAGCCTTCTTGGCAAATGATCGACGTAGCGTCTCAGCCTTTTTGTACACAAGCGCTATCAACTAATGAGAAATCTACGTTCGGGCAATTTATTCGTAAGAACTTCACTACTGACGGATTCGTGACCTCGATGCGGTATTGCGAACACGGGTTGTTCTTTGCTCGACTCACATAAAGAGCGGAGGAAAGGCAAAAGAAAGATGTCTTCAATTTTATAAATTTGACTAGGTAGCGCAAGTAAACGTCAGATTCAAAAAGCGGAGCTCGAAACAATTTATTCGGCTACCCTTTCAAAATTAAAACTTCAAGCCCCCTCGATAGATGGCAGCACCTTCTGGAATGAGCATATCTCTATCTGTTTGGAATTGTGAAGGCATGGATATACTCCACCGGTGAATTGATCGGGCGGTAATCTCCGCCATCTCTCTTTTATGTATAGAAACAATACTGCGTTCAATGAGGCATCTTCATCATTTTAATTTCCAGAAGAGTTTCTTCAGACGCGTTTATTTCGACGTGTCCTTTTCTTTGTATGCGTATTTTTTCGGTACAGAGGCCGGGTAAACTTCGATTTTGAATGCATGGGACTCATTTTGCAGACAAACCGGGAGAGCTTGCTGTAACGTCGCAGGGAAACTGTCGTTAGTTCACCAGATAAAAGGTCACCGGAGAAAGCCTCACCGCAAAACCGGCAGATGCGGCAAAAAGCTCACCGAAATTTTTATTTTTCTTAGCTTAGCGGATTGTGCTAAGCTAAAAACCACACGTGGCAATTCAAAAAGATAATTTTTTTTTTTTTTTTTTTTTTATTTATTCTTGAAGTTTATTCGGCATATTTACTAATTCCTCGGGAATTAGTAATCACCCATTCTGTCTATTAATCACGCCGCAAGTATGAAGTCAAAGCATGGGGCACCCTTAAAAAAGAAAACAATTTATTGACAGCTTGACAGTGCGCCGTCGGTAGCTCTGTCAGATAAAGAGGTTCGTTTTTCGCAAGCTAATATAAATAGCGGTGTGAGAACGGGAGGCACTCACTTGAACGAATGACGTTTTAGCGAACGCCCACGTTTCATCGAACGACACTTTAGCGAATAGTCATACGCCGCGAAGCGGCGTTTTCGGGTGGGCCAAGTGAGTTCATATTTTTGTAATGAGTTGCCGCAGACTGTCGCCGCGAAGCGGCGTAAAGCGCAGCGCGACGGATGGGTTAACGCGCGTAAAACGACCATTCGCTCAAATGTCGCCGTTCGCTAAAATGTCATTCGCTCTTGTGATATGGACCCGTGAGAACAGTTTCAGCTCCGAAGATTGTGTGGTGCCTGATAGACGAGTAGGTGTTTGTTGATGTGATCAGTGTCGGCTAGGTCGTTTTCTTTTTTCTTTCACTAATAAAACTTTAGTTGCGAGAACAGCTTCGTCCTGGCGCGTTTCTTGTCTTTAATTCGCCCTCGTCATTTGAACTGTTTTCATGATGTATAACCAGTATAACGTTTACCAACTCGCCTAATTCGCTACCTTACAGAACGGTGACTGATCAGCTATGAAGGTCACGAGTGGTTCGCTTCAGCAGGGCACTATCACACGAAGGCAACGCGTGAAAAAACCAGCACGAACGGCTAGAAAACGTGCATACTGACCGTTCTATCCCGTTTTCAAAGGTTAACAAAAGCTCCAAAGAGAATTTCAGGCACCGTGTTGTTGCGCACGCACTTTCGGGTTTTCGGCATTTATAGTTTTGCTTTTTTTAGATTTTAAACAGACATTATTAAGTTTTTTAACTTTTTCCTGTTCAAGTTTATGAAGTTTTCAGTTAGGCTTTCGTTTCGTGTAGAGCAAACCACGGAAAACAGTCGCCCGTAATCATTCATTTGGGAGCAATATGCCCAATAAGCTTAACAAGTATTACAAAAATAACATTTTCCTTTTACGAAACTGAACAATTTTAATGATAATAAATTGACGTATGTTACCCATGATCCGACAGCCAGAAAAAAAAAATCGGTGAGCTTTTCTCCGCATCCGCCGGTTCTGCGACGAGTTCTTCACGGTGAGCTTTTCCACGGGATTCGCGCACACCAGCTGGGAGGACGTGGAGCGAAAGCTCACTCTGCAGAAAGCAGGATTCAATTCCCCCCCCCCCCCCCCCCCCCCTCCCCCTGCCCTTTTCGATTTGGATGAGCATCGTACCGGCGTACGGTCGTGAATCACTACTGCGTGGTGCACGTTACCGCACTGGCTAAATTGCTCATCTACAGCCGAGACACCAGACGCCTACTAAGACAGACTAACTTCCCACTGAATAAGGATACTCCAATTTTATTTTTATTCTGGTCTAAACCGTTCTAATAAAGACCTAAAGCATGGAGCTATACTAACCAAAGGTGTCAACCTTTGGCTAGTATAGCTCCATGCTTTAGGTCGACTTGCAGGTAATAATTTGTGCAGCACATACTTATATAGCAGCTTAAAAGCATGTCCATATACTTATTACCAGGCAAAGATTACCTGCTGCGACATACATCTGAAGTGAATTAAAAGGAAATTCGTGGCTTTAATGGTATGCAAAACAAGTTTGAAGCATATTTCGCTATTCCCAGTGACTTGCGAAACTTTCTTGGCAAAGGGGCAGGCAAGCAGATCGGTGAAGTCTTGATATTTTCATACAGCTGGGAACAATGGGTCAAAGTGGACATTTCCTCTCTAATTAAACAATGGTTCAATCTGTACAGCTGCCAACTGGTGGAGACGACAGAGCCACCACAATGTTGCTTTGCGTATACAGCGAGGCGAGGTCATCAGTATACTCAATGCAAATTCTACTGTAGATTACTCCCAAGAGAGCAGATTTGCACCAGTTATTGATGTGCAAACCGTGAAAACAGAGGGAACATTATTTTTTTGGAGTGATTGCCTTGCGACAAATTGTTGCTCCCATTGCAATAAGGTTCTGGAATCTGGGCGCATTGTGGTGGGCCAATGTATACAGCGGCCATCCAACATGTGGCTTGCATGTGAGCAACAAATGATTGGCCCTGCCAAGCCTTTGTAAGTAGATGCCCAACTTTTGCAGGAGCACATTTCTTCCACCCTGCATACGCAACGAATTACAGTAGCACCACTGCAGCACCGATCGATCGCATATTCTCCTTTATATCGATGGTAACTGTAGAGATTGATAGCACGCCTAAATATTTGTCAAGTAGAAATGAAAAGTGGCCCATCACTTTTTGCAAGTATCTCAACTGAAGGTCGATTCAATTACACTTCAGAAAAAATTTGCAGAGATAGGGCGCCCCTAAAAAGGTCGGCAGGAAAATTTTTGCTGCAGACAATGCATGCTTACCAAAAAAAAGAACATGTCAAATTGAATATTTCGCCAATAATTTGAGCAACCTCGACCGTGTCAAGGCCCAGATGGCATTCACCACTCGTCAATGCTGTGGTTTTTTTTTATTAAAAGAACAAAGTGTCCGAGCTTGGTTGAAGCTAATGGGAGTAAACTTTCTGTGCTGGGGCCTGGACCTGGTGGTATGGGGGCAGGCGCGTCCTGGTTCGGATGGTGACGACCGATGACGGTGATCGCCCGATGACAGCCCCGGGAAGTTGATGATAAAAATAATACTAAACTAAAAGTTGTTAGATCCCGCTGAACACATTGCGACGTTGGTTGACTTTACAATGGCCAGTGTGGCCACGTTTATTATGAAACAAAACAACTCAACAGTGAGTTAAAATGCCAAAATTAAACCCCATACTTTTGTTCCCAGTCTCCCAAAATCGAATGGAAGCCAATCCTCTAGAATCCTCTCGGGGACCCTTTTTCAGACTCGTAGGGGCCTCCTTTCCCCTCAGGGACCGACCAATCCCTTCAAATTTCACCACTACCACGTGGTACACTGTTCTCCAATGGTCGGCGAGCTGTCAGTCTGGCACTCTAACCGCCAAATCCAAATTCTTTCTAGAGTCAACCCCTGCATTTTACGCAGACGGGCTGGCGCCAACAGCTAAATTATTACATCAGGTAAAAAGCGACAATTTGATACTAAGCGGCAAAACCCTCTATTTACAGGCACATTCGGCTAAAAGCTACACGCTTCTCCAGGCGGGGGCTCTCCCGGTCCCGGTCCGAGCGGACTCCCGAAACCCGAGACGCTTCTTAACGACCGCAAGGGGAACCGCTCCCGCACTGCGGCCGCTCTGGCCCCGCCAACACAAACAGAGAAAGCTAAAAAGAAACAATGCCGACGCAACTTTGGGAAGATAAACTTTCCTAACAAAAATCACCATAACTAATAAGCAGGATTTCTACAAACTTAACAGGAGTGTTTTAGCAAAGCATGCTTGTTTCCCATAGGTCCACACCACCTCTCGTGCAACACGAAGTTGTGTTTTAATGCACCACTATAATGCAGGAAGCCCTTCTTACACTGTGATAGTATAGAGTGCTTACACACCCACTACTGAAGCAAAGATGGGAATTACTCTACGTACAGGTTTGCAATTATGCAGCTAAAAGCCACAGAGCACTAGATCACAGATCTTGCTGGTTGGTCGTTCTTGTTGAGGAGGATGATCCGTGACTCCCTCCAAACAGCTAGCATGTGATGGTGGCTGACATGGATGTTGAAAACAGCTTTGAGAAAAAAGGCATCACCGTCCGCAAGTTTTGGCAAGTCAGGTGGTCTAGCTGGCTGCAGGTGAGCTAACTTGCAACACGCATTGAAAGGCACACTGCTGTTGCTCTTGTCACCAACACTGACACCTCACAGGGGCACCACTTTTAAAATTGTGGCAAAGAGTTCAAAGGCACGCTGCTACTTTAGTGTTGTCGATGCTGGCACTTCACAGGTTCATGCAGCTTTCAACACTAAGAAGGCATTGGAAGGCACGCTGTGTCTGCCGTTGTTGTCAGTGCTGGCACCTCACGGTCAGTTGACAGGAGCACCTACTCCAACACTGCAAATGGGGCCTTGACACAGTGTTAATGGCACAGCATATCATCCGCACAATTCTGCTGATGATGGAGTTATGGCTTGCCACAGGTCACAGAGATTAATCCCCAGAACAGCTTCGAGGACATCTCTTCAGTTAGAATGCATCCTTGGAATTAGCATCCTGTTCAGAATGAGCAAATAGCACGGAATAAGACTCCAACATTTCAATCGCGCCACACTTTATCACAACATATCACTGGCGTCGCACTGATCTCAGTGGCACAAAATTTACCCAGCACAAAGGGGTACCTTCGAAAGACACCATTGAAATATTAGAATTGCAATTCTTTCTTTGGATTCATTCATATCCCCCCGTGAGGGGGGTGGGCCGATCCCGGAGGCAGTGCAATACCGGGCCAACCCGTGGCATAGGTGAGGTAAACCTCAAGCACTACGCCGCATTCCAAAAATAAGATTAATATCTTGGGTCCAAATAGGACCCGTATCAGATATTAAGCTGATAAGAACAGATACTACACTTTGATCTTAGCCAAAAGGCCGAGAAGCGATAACTCCCAATTGTCTTTTAATTTCAAGCCATTTGGGACTTGAACCCCAAGAGCACATACCACCCCGCCGAGAGGTAACCAAACGCGCATGGCTTCCCAGCGCCAGAGTGGACACCGGTACGCTTTTCCGATGTTACATCGAATCAAATACAACTCTCCGACGATATATGATCTTGAAATGTCCTCATTAAAGCCAAATTAATACAAATATGCCCTATAGAAACGCCGTCAACGACGCACAAGAGACCTCGTCGCCATCTCTCGACTTGCCAACAAACTCAAAAGGTGTACCGCAAATTGCAGAAAATCCACATAAAACTGCGAGCAAAACAAATCAGAATGACATATGAAGCACGATAAAAATCAAATGCAACGTGCATTCAAACAAGTTCGAAATCCGGATGTTTCAAAGAGCTTCCGGCGAAACAGCGTCTGCTATAAAAAATAGCGGACGGTCGTTCACAACCCGAGAGCAGAACCGCCGAATACCAATACTTGAGGAAAGATTTAGAAACATACATCAAGAGCAAAACACGCGAATATTTAATGAAGTGAGGATGTCGGTGTTTAATAGAAAGCTTCTGCCCAATAGAAGGCAGACGCCCAACGTTCAAGCACCGTTTATAACATTTCATTATAATTCGTACAGGTGAGCACCGTTCGAAGACTTTCGTGCAATAGACATGTGGCAAAATATGTGCACTTAGTTTGAGAACATCAAAGCGTCGGTAGAGCAACTGAGAAATCAATGAAAAATTCGGAGCTTGATCGAAAAAAATTCTTGGGGATGTTCGTGAAGACGACGCAGGGAAAGGCGCGGACCACGCCTATTCAAGGCAGTTGTGACTGGCTTAAACGAGATGGCGCCAGCGTCGTTGCGGCGCTTTAGTTCACCGTTCATTCACTAGATGGCCCTAGTCCCCCGTTCCTAGTCGTTTGAAAAGGCTGCCCGCCTTTTAAAACGCTTTAAATCGCACAAAATGAAATGTCGCATGTAGAAAAACACAACTAATCTTCAGCCCAAACGTGAAGGAAGCTAAACGAACACGCACTCTAGGCGACTAAGGACTTACAAACGAATGAAGCGACGGTTCCCGAACACGAGCGTGCATACAAAGAACGGCAGTTCGGCACGACACGGCACCAAAACTAAAACCACGCCAAAAACTCCCGACATCTCGTAGAATCGTGCGTGAGGCAAGAAAAACGCTGGCGTTGACGTTACCGGGTGCATGAAAGAACGAAGGCTGACGAACCGGCACGGCGACAAGAACAAACGGCTGTCATTAGGCCTACCTGTCTTCAAGCACAGAGACGATAAGGTCCTTAAAGAGCCCAGCCGTATTTGTCAACATGAACCACTTGACAGCCGCAAACATCTACACAGCACTGGGTTCGGGGCCATCTAAAGCATATCATACGCACTACAGCCGTAACGAAATAAGGGTACTCACACGAGCTTCCGCAACGCAGCAAAACTGACGAAGAAAGACAAATGACGGTATGGGCGGCGATTAAACATTAAACAACCGCAAGGAGGCGGCCGGAACCGGGAATTAACAAAAAAAAAAAAACGAAAAAGAATAAGAAAAGCGCCAGCACGCGGAGACGTGGGCGCCTGGGCAAGGGAGGTTAAAGGGCAAGGGAAGTCAAAGCAGGGTGCAGTTCCGTGGTTCCTTGTCTGTCGCCTTCTGCCATTGGTTCCGCTGATCAAGGGACAGTGGGGATGGTGGGCAGACAGGATTGTGAGCGTTGTGGCGCGCTTCGTTGGGGGTCCCGCTGACAGCGTTTCCCTTCTTTCTCTTTTTTTTTTTCTGTTTTTGTTTTATGTTTGCTGGTTTGCTTTTTTTCCCGTGGAAGCGAGGCGCGGGGGGTTTTGTTTCGCTGTGGAGGGGTTTGGGCTTATCTTTTCGTTCGACCTTGGGAGCCTTGAACGGGCATTCGGGACGGACCCGCGCGGCTGTGTGTGCGCGTGCGGTGCAAGTATGTGAATGCGCGTGAAAGAATTAAGTTGCTCTATTACTGCGCGCGTTGGCCTCGTTCGCCCTGAGGTTGCGCGTTTTTGCCGGGGGCGAGACTGGCGAGACGGGCGATGGTTTTTTCTTTTCCTGTAAAGCCCAACAAAATTGTCGTTTTTTTTTTTTTTTTTTTTTTTTATTGGCAGCATGATTTACTAGCTTCCTGGTTCGCCGCTTACATTTTTGTTCGAAGTTATTCAGATAGATTATATTTTCCCGTGATGAGTAACCCGTGACTGGGCCAGAAGAAGAAAAATAAACTTCTGAGAGTGGTAGAAAAAAGAAACAGGGACAGACCCACTTACCCAAAGCATCGGAAACGTTTGGCCCGTCGTCCTGTCCTGACGACCAGCACGCGTGGAGATTTTAGTAGATTGTTCCTCTGACTCCGGCGTCCGGCCCTTGAAACAGCATGCTAAATTGAACGTAATTTCGCCGAACGCGAGCTCGAGCTAAAAAGGCACGTCTGAAAGCCAGGGCCCAGGAGTGCGGGCTAGCTCGCGCTTGTAGCTGTGGCTGCAGTCTTGCGCGTCAGAGACGTTTCTCCGTTACCGCTCAATAGGGAGTTTTCGTAGACCGCGCTGTCCCCTCCGCTAAGCGTTCCGCAACGAAGAAGGTGCTACTGCGCCTGCGCGCTGATAGCCTTGACTGTGGAGTTCCCGCTATCGTAGCGGGTTGCGGAGGGCCCTTGCGGGACGGCGAAAACGATCTACGAAAACTCCCTAATAGGGAGTTTTCGTAGATCGTAGAAGCGGTTGCGAACGCGGTTGTATAAAGATCCAATACAATTGCACGCGCACTCGATGACATCAAGTGCGCGTGAACCGCGTTCGCAACCGCTTTGCGAACGCGGATCCGCTTCCAGTGTGAATGAGCGGTTAGTGTGGAACGCGATCCGGAGGAAAATGCAAAGAAACAGCAAAAATTCCAACGCCGCCGTAGTACAGGTTTGAAATAAACAGAAAAGCGTCGCGACGCCCGATAGCGACGCTGCGACGGTGGCATGAATCCCGGCCGCCGTTTTGATTGTTTTGCGGCGTGGATCTAGCCGCCGACGCCAAGAGCTCGATCCGGGAGGTGCTCTTTCTTGCGCTCCAGAGTGACAAAGCAAAAGAAGCGTTCGGAACAAAATGGCTAGATGTCATCACCGTATTGCAGAGAGCGTACAAAGGCACATGCTCCAATCTGCCAAATGATTAAATTATCCAAGCAGCAAATACAACATTGGACCAAGCTCGTCAAATCATCGCTGGCCATGGAGAATCCCGGACAAAGGCTCTTCCTTTTTTTCACTGACCCGGACAAAAGCTCACCAGAAGAAAATTTAATGTTGGTCTTAAGGCGGGTGCGGACAACTTAGGTGCTTGCCGGCGACACTAAAATCCAACGATAAATTTAATCTGACAGGCGCATGGTTTGTTGATAAGAATAGAAACAAGTTTATTTATCGATTGGTTAGAAGCGAATGCATTTTCCTACTAGCTTCACCAGTCTTGGTAGATCTCGGTGGACCTCTTCGGGTTCCAAAACTCCGGTTCACGAAGTTTCTTGGGCGATATACAAGGGTGCTCCGACATACCTTGAAGGTTGGGTCAAGCAAACTTGATCTTAATTAGCTCCACTCAGTTTCGGTTATCTTAATTTTGGTCCCAAAAGTTGCTTCTCTGCCTGTTATGGCTTATCTGTCGTCACCTTTGTATAGGATGGGGTACCAGTTCTCCTGAAAATGGTGTAATGTTTATCGCGTCCCCACGTTATCCAAGCCCTTGTTTCGCCCGGGTAGCGAAAAAAAAAAAAAGAGGTGAGCTTTTGTCCGGGTCTGCGAAAAAACGGGTGAGCTTTTGTCCGGCGAGCTTCGGTCCGGTGAGCTTTTGTCCGGTTACCGGCCAAGGATGCCGATGAGTGGCCAATGCTCGGCAAAAGTAGGGTGCCTACATGTTAGCGGCGGAAACATGTAGGCACCCTGGGCAAAAGCATCAAGAAATTACTCGGGCAGTCGTCGTCCGACGAGGAATGAGCCTTGGCTTGGGCCTTGGTCGGCTCAAAGCCATGACTTCACACTACGGACCCGGCCGCCTGATATCTATTTTGCAGCCTTTTGGCAATCCACTCTAAGAAATGCCTGCGCGTCTATTTACCCGCAAAGCACTCAAAGAGCCAATCTCTGCTATCTACGAAATCAGCTCAGCGAATGATGATGCGGAACATTCGTTTATACCTCAGAATTACGTCTGCGCTGTGCCATTACACAATGCAAGCATGACATCGCACAGTGCCACAGAGCGGACTTCATTTTGAGGTCCAAACAGATGTTCCGCCTCATCATTCGCTGAGCTGATTTCGTGGTCGTGGATCGCAGAGATTGGCTCTTTGAGTGTTTTGCGGGCAAGTAGACGCGCAGGCATTTGTGACGGTGGACCAGACTTGCTCACGTCACTAAAAAAGCTAAGGAATTACATTTACAACTACACTTCCAGAAAGTAAGTGGCCGTTGTCTAAAAAAGTAATCCTTTATTTTCGCAGCGGTCCTTTCAACCTTACTGTCCTATACTGCAATAATACTTTAAGAAACAAGCGAGCTGGTGATGATTCATGGTAATAAAACCCGAGACTCAGGAACACAGAAGGGGACGAACACAACACAACGTCTCAAACACAGCTGAAGGTTTATTTGTCAGACGAGACGAGGGCGGCGGGGGGCAAGGAAGCGTTGCGAGGAAGTGGGGGATTAGCAGTGGGGGCAGTGGAGGGTGATAATTCAACTGCGTGGACGTTCTCATGGACTTTGTGGCGCCTAGCGCATGTGGATGGCTGTGTTTGCGAGGAGGGCTGCTGACGTGGACTGTGCGGGGAGGAAGCGGCTTCACCTTCGGGACTGTGGATGTCGGTTGGGGCACAGAAGGAGCTCGCCTTTTTAAACGAGCGTTTGACAAATAAACCTTCAGCTGTGTTTGAGACGTTGTGTTGTGTTCGTCCCCTTCTGTGTTCCTGAGTCTCGGGTTTTACTACCATGTCCTATACTCCGCTAATTCTTAAGCTGAAACTAGAAGCTCAGCCTTCTGCGCTAGCTTTCCGCCCTTGCTAACAAAAGTGTGAACGCGCAGGCACACGCAACCAAAGCACTGCGGAAGCCAGCGAGCTTTCGCTGAAGTCGGAGCTTCTAGTCTCAGCGTTTATTGTTGCCACCCCTCACACTTTCGTGACCGTGAGCAGAATCTGGCTCTTAAAAATCTCATCGGACATATCTTGCCTCGTTTCTATGTAAAAATGTTGTCCGCCGCGCTAAACACTTTTTTTTTTTTTTTTCTATTTGGACGCGCGGGGAAACCTAACTGGCATTTGAAGGGGGAAGTAGCAGCATTGCCAGTTCGTGCAGGGTGCTGTCAGTCTCATTACTTCTCTGTCACACCTCGTATATTACAATTTCTTTCCTCATGAGCTCATCTTTGAGTGGCGCAGGCTCCCAAGACCATCTCATAACTGCGATAATCTTTCCAGCGACGCGGAGTGTCTCCGGAAGAACGATCGCTTGATAAATAGGGTTGCCACCTGCCCGGTTTTCGACCGGCCCGGCCGGTTTTTTAGACAGCAGGCCGGTTTTTTGACAGCCATCGAAGCGTGATTGCTTAGCTTTTAGCGACGATAAAAATTTGTCGACGAAAAAAAAAAAAGTTTAAAAATACACAAACAGCGCGAGGAAACGTGATTAGAAAAAGTACGCGGGCGAGCAGGGGAACTCCCTGAGAGGGGGGTACGGTCAACACAGAACGAAACGACCACCGGTCGCGCGGTGGAAAGCTGGAAAGCAGGAAAATAAGGGAAAGACGCCGGCGGGCCCTCCCGATAGATGAGCCTTCTGGCAGTCTTGTACACGTTACTAAAAAAAAGTAATCGATTACAATTACTATTACTGTTGGCTAAAAAGTATTCGATTAGATTACTTGATTACTTGACGGCAAAAGTAATCGGACATTACTTAAAGAAGTAATCATTACTTTTCCGATTACTTTATTGCGTGACGACACATCTTTAGCGCTCATAACAATGAACTACTTCCAACCTATATTTCACATTTGCACAAGTATTCAAGAAGAAAAACTGGCTCCCTCTTTGTGGTCGTTGCACCTTTACAATGCGGACACAAGCATAGAATTCGTTTGAAGACGTTTAACGATTTGGGCATTTGCCAGTGTGTGTGTGTGTGTGTGGGGGGGGGGGGGGGGGGGGGGGGGAGGAGGAGCGGAGGGGGTTCTAGATCTTGTAAAGCTTGAGCAAGGGTTGTCGCTCAAAGTTTGCGTCACTCATTTTATTATTCACATGTGGATGAGCTCGCATGTTATACAAAAGAGCAGCAGCTCCAGGATTTGAAACGGATTATGTGCAGTATTGATTAGCGGAAGAGATCGCTCCGACCACTTCTCAACTCGAAACATTGCTTGTCACAAAGACCACGCAGGGGAAATGGGGAAATATTTCAACTGCCGTTGTTATATTTTGCATCCGCTTTAGGCAGTCTTCGGTTCTGGTTCTCCTACGGG